ACATATACCATTGGCTATTATGAGTATCTAGTTTTTTTCCTTTCAAATTCTATTTAATTTCATTGAAATTTCTCTATTGGTTTATTTTTCCAGGATAATGAACTTTCCATCTTTTGGTTATTGTCTTCTATTTTATAAACACATGCATTCCCAAACAAGACTCCTCCTAACTCAAACTATAGCTAAAAAAGAAAAAAAATAAAAAACTTAGAGAAGATCATAGAAGCATAGAAGAAGCTCTCACCTAAATTATTCTTCTATGTCAAAACATTCGTAGTTGGTCGATCATGCCTTAAGATTCTTGTCCAGTAGAAGCGAACTTGCATTTATTTTTCTTCTTTTTTTCATTTGTTTGTTTGTTAATAGAACATAGAATTGGGAAATCTTCTTGTAATTACAAAAAATTGTGTTTTATATGTGAACACTGCAACAACAACACCCAAAAAAAAAAAAAACACATTCGGTGACTAAAAATGGTGAATAAAATAATTCGTTTGTCTATACAATTTTGCTTGATTTGAAAGTGTATAATTCCTAGTACTTTGGTTCGAAAATATTTTTAAACACAATTTTTTCTTTCCCAGTCTTTTGATGGAATGTTTTGATAGAATTGCAACCACCTCAAATTCTTTTGATGGAAACTTTTTAAACACAATCTTTTGATAGAATTGCAACCACCTCAAATTCTTGATTTTCATAGTATATGATTAAACAGGTTATGAATTGTTTTAGGTTTTGTTATAATCTTCATAATTGTGAGATGTTTGTTTTTCTGGTTTAGTCCTTTGTTGGTAGCTTGCTAACATGTTCTTGGGTGTTTCATGCCTTGATGTTGCAGATGATTGGTTAGTGTCTCATGTGCCAGCATAGTCGGGATATGACTATTTTAATGCTTCTTTCACATGGGCTTTCAAACTTTAATATATTGATTTGAGTTTTGATTACATTAACAAATTTATCTTTTGCTGATAAAAAATATATAAAATGGGGTTGAGAGAAGTCTGATAAATTTCACTAATTTCGTTGGGAGATTTCCTAAGTGTCACTTAATTAGTTTTCATATAATTGCAATTTATTTTCCAAAATTTTAGCCAATTCATTAAGCTTACCTGCACTAATTTCATCTTCCAGGTGATTGTAGAAAATATGATTGCTATCTTAACCAGTGTTAGGTATACAAAACTCAGCCACACTCACAAGTATGGACCCATAGCTGTTGGAGAGATCAACAATTTTATTATTTATATTCATGCCGCTCACATGAAATAATATGGTCCCCTATCAAATATGAAATCTAGGTTTGAATTTACCGATAGGATAATGACGCACCCCTTTCCTTATTCCTTTCTATCAAGTATACAAAATAAAAAAAAGTTTGGCTTCTATCCAATCCAGATCTAAGATTGGAGAGTGATGTCCATGTCGGTGGGACCTACCACGAGTCATGTTACTAATTTTTTTCATGCATAATATATATGAATGAATTTATAAAATAAATAATTTAGATTATTAAAATAGAACATGGGATGGGTCCCATAAGCCCAGACATGACTCTTCAGTGAAGCCCAACCCAAATATTAAAAAATAAAAAAACTATGATCACATATGGCCAAGTTGCTATCGATAAGAAAGTTAAATACGTGTAAATATTTTAATTATTGAATAAGTAATGAGATTTAAATTAAAATCTATGTGCAAGTATTTTAATTATTAAATGGACAACTAGGGTCAAACAAAAAATCCATCACCTATTCTCAATTTTAATTTTGATATTTGAGAGACAACTTTAATTTTTATATTTTTAACATTTCCTGATAAACGAAATAGCCACACTAGGGGAGCTTCACAACGTCCCTGGTTCGGTGGTGCCTTACTTCCTTTCGAGGATTTTTAAATGGTTAATTTTATTTTTATTTCCTTAATTATTATTATTATTTATTTAATTTGTATACTATTAATTCTAGGAAAAATTATTTATAAGTCCTATTAGGGAGACTTATGCTACATATGGTCCTATTAAAAAACTTATGTTCCCATAAGTCCTGTGGAAAGTTTGTTGACACATTTACCCTCAATATTAGTTGTTAATATCATAAATAATAGTAAAACCGCATATAGGAAATTGAATGTTACCATAGATCATATCTATATAAACGTAACGTAACGTGACACCTACATAAACGAAACGTGACACCTATACGTAACGTGACACCTACATAAACGTACCGTAACACCTATGATCTATGGTAACATGCAATTTTCTATATAGGAAATTGCATGTTACCATAGATCATATCTACATAAACGTAGCGTAACGTGACACCTACATAAACGTAACGTGACACCTATGGTCTATACTAACATTCAATTTCCTATATAGGAAATTGAATATTACCATAGATCATATTTACATAAACGTAACGTAACGTGACACCTACATAAACGTAACGTGACACCAATGATCTATGGCAACATTCAATTTGAATGTTGTCATAGATCATATTTATATGAAACATAACGTGATACCAACATAAACCAGCAACATTTTCACATTGAATTTAAAAAAATAAAAACTCATTAAGTTTGCGAAACGTAACGTTACGTTACGTTTATATAGGTGTCACGTTACGTTACGTTTATGTAGGTGTCACGTTACGTTACGTTTATGTAAGTATCACGTCACGTTACGTTTATTTAGGATCTTATGGAATACATTCTTATCTAAATAGGACTTGAGACTCTATAAGAAATTATACAGGACTTAACCTATCATAAGTGTCTGAAAAATGACTTATAAATAAATCTTCCTTAATTCTATCTATTTAATTGAGAGAGCTTTATATTTCCATTCATATAGTTGAATTGGAGACATCTATTTGAATCAATAATGAAGGAAGTTTAATTTTATTAGCAAAAAAGTAATTTTACAATTTGAATAACCTAATTCATATAATAAAACACACATCATTTGACTCACATTATACAAGATAACTTACATCCTACAACCTAACATCCATCTTATTATCCACTCTCTCAAGTCTCCTTTATCCTCTTATTCCTTTATTCACCCTGCTTCCAACCACCATCAAGCTCATCATCCTTCCCTGATGACCCCCACTCCTTCTCTTGCCATTTTAGCAAACAAAACCCTAGTCATGACCACCACTACCACCACCCTACTCCTTCGAAACCCTAGTCGCAAAACCCTCTTCCTTTCCTAGATCCCGTCATATGCCCTCCTCCTCTAACGTTAAAAAAAAATTAAAAAAGTTGCTTAGAAATTAAATTCATATTGTAGATTTAAATTTTATGTCATTTAAATTACACTGAAAGTAAATATATTCCACACATTTTAAAATTATGACACTATTTTGAATACTTTGTTCCAATATGTGTAGCCCTCAATCAGTTCCTCAAGCGGAATAAAATCTGAAAACGAAGTCAACCTATGCAACAATCATGGACCACATGAACACTTGTCTATTGTCACTTCCCCACATGACAAAACTTAAAAGGAACCCCATTGCTTAGATGAAAAGGACCAGGACATGCACCATCCCAAAAAAGCAAAGACATCAAACCTCCAAGGCATCTCTATATGGTTGGAAACTTTTGACAAATCAACCCTTAATTGATGTCTATCCTCCAGTATGCATACATGCTTTAACAAACACTAATAGACAGCAAAATGATAGTGTTGAAGTCTAGGTATTTTTTAATTCATAAGTTTAGAATTACAAAATCAGACATAGAAAATAAATATACTGAAAAAATTGTACAAGATATTTGTTGGTGGGCTCACTCATAAATATCCTATATCCATCTAATGTTTGTGTTCGATCTTGTGGAATACATTCATATCTAAATAGGACTTAAGACTCTATAAGAAATTACACACGACTTAACCTATCATAAGTGTCTGAAAAATGACTTATAAATAAGTCTTCCTTAATTCTATCTATTTAATTGAGAGAGCTTTATATTTCCATTCATATAGTTGAATTGGAGACATCTATTTGAATCAATAATGAAGGAAGTTTAATTTTATTGGCAAAAAAGTAATTTTACAATTTGAATAACCTAATTCATATAATAAAACACACATCATTTTCATTTGACTCACATTATACAAGATAACTTACATCCTACAACCTAGCATCCATCTTATTATCCACTCTCTCAAGTCTCCTTTATCCTCTTATTCCTTTATTCACCCTGCTTCCAACCACCATCAAGCTCATCATCCTTCCCTGATGACCCCCACTCCTTCCCTTGCCATTTTAGCAAACAAAACCACGAAACCCTAGTCGTGGCCACCACTGCCACCACCCTACTCCTTCGAAACCCTAGTCGCAAAACCCTCTTCCTTTCCTAGATCCCGTCATATGCCCTCCTCCTCTCCCGTCTTCGTCTTCTTCTTCTTTAAATGTACTTAAAAAAATTAAAAAAGTTGCTTAGAAATTAAATTCATATTGCAGATTTAAATTTTATGTCATTTAAATTACACTGAAAGTAAATCTATTCCACACATTTTAAAATTACAACACTATTTTGAATACTTTGTTCCAAAATGTGTAGCCCTCAATCCGCTCCTCAAGCGGAATAAAATCTGAAAACGAAGTCAACCTATGCAACAATCATGGACCACATGTCTATTGTTACTTCCGCACATGACAAAACTTAAAAGGAACCCCATTGCTTAGATGAAAAGGACCAGGACATGCACCATCCCAAAAAAGCAAAGACATCAAACCTCTAAGGCATCTCTATATTGTTGGAAACTTTTGACAAATCAACCCTTAATTGATGTCTATCCTCCAATATGCATACATGCTTTAACAAACACTAATAGACAACCAATGATAGTGTTGAAGTCTAGGTATTTTTTGATTCATAAGTTTAAAATTACAAAATCAGACATAGAAAATAAATATATTGAAAAAATTGTACAAGATATTTGTTGGTGAGCTCACTCATAAATATCCTATATCCATCTAATGTTTGTGTCCGATTTTATATTCCAATATTTATTAACTATAAATAGAACAATATCAACATTGTACTCCAATCTTATCCTCATACATTATATCCACTTAGCAAATTTGAAAAATAACATAAGAGAGAGAAAGAAAGGATTGATAAGAAAACTTATGTCGGTAGGAACTCTTAAGGCCTGAATGACCACAAACCTCACTGTCTCTTGTTCTTTTTCTCTCCACTTTCAAGAAGCTCCTCCAACAATTTGTCATCATAGTACTCAAATTCAAACACTTGCTTTCCATGCTCACTCGTACATGTTGCTGAAGACGATGATGATGACGATGATGATGATGATGATGATGAAGAAGAAGATGAAGACATAGCGGAGGATCCACCTCTTGGTAAGTTGTATTCCTCAGGAAAATTAAGAATGGATAAATGACCCCTCATGGCATAGGCGGCTCGGTCATAGGCCCTAGCCGCCTCCTCTGCCGTGTTAAACGTTCCTAGCCAGACACGTGCTCCGTGTCTGGCTGAGTCACGTATTTCAGCAGCAAACTTTCCCCATGGTCGCCTCCGAACACCTCTATACTTGACATCTCCTCCTTTCTCATCCTTACTCTTGAAGTCCTCTTCCATGGTTTTTAAATTCTTTTCACATATGACAAAGTATGCTAAGTATGTGTCATTTTATATGGGTGAAAAAATGGAGTCCTAGGTTTTGCAAAAAGGACGGCTCATAAGTTGCCACGTGGAAGATCCTGTTGGGGGAATTATGCCACGTGTTGAAGAACCTTCGATGGAGACCGAAGTTGGTATCCAATGCACCTGGATGATCAATGCGATGGCTTTGGAACTCTTTGACTTTCTTTTGCATGTCCTGTGTTTGTCTTTAAAGAAAATTAATGGGAACGTTGTTTGGGAAGTTGGTTTTGGTGGGTTAGGGACTAAAATAGTCACAAAAAATAAAATATCAAATCCAACTCATAATCATTATACTTCTCTTTCACAAAAAAAGTCAAAAAAGTCAAAAAGTCCTTCTTAAACCAGGCTTTTTAGTCTCAGATTAAAATAACCAAAAAATTAAAAAGCGAAAAAGTTAACCCACTTCCCAAACGGAGGCTCAGTGTCACAACTCACACGTGCACAATATTAAAGCATCGTTAGTTTGCGGCCTTGTGCTTCCGTTCTTCTCGTCTTCCATATCATCATAGCATATACTCTCTCTATTCTAATTTGATTGCCTATTTTGTATATTCGTGTTCTTTAAATAAATAATATATTTTTTAAAATAAAAAATTTACATTTTTTTTTACAAATTAAAATATATCAATTAGATGTTGATAATGTCTTCAAAATCGTTAAAAAAAAAGAATAAATTAAAATATATAAATAATTTTTTGAGATATCTAAAATATTAAAATAGACAAACAAATTGAGACAGAGTATTGCGTTGATCATTTCAAAGGTTTAGAGCTAAATTAGAGATGCCTAATCGGAAAAGTTAAGGTAATTTTTCACTTGTTACAATTTATTTTTGCCAAATCTGGAGTTAAATTAGGCAAGGTTGTTAGTTGGCTATTCATTTTTTATTTTTATTTTATTTTATAATTGAGTGTCTGGGTTAATTTGAATGTACTCGTCTAATTTCAAAATCTTAAAGTTAACAATTGGATAAATCTTTAATGGTCCTTTGAAAGGACTCAAACTGAAGACTTCATATCTAACATTCAAATCTTCACCATTTGATTAACTCCTCGTGATTCATTTGACTATGCTATTTGAAAATAAATGTATAGTGTAGATTCAAATTTAATATGACATGGTCACACCTAAATTAAATTTGATTTGCATATATCGTTTCTTAGACAATTTTGAAGGTACTATTTTGGGTTGCATAATATTATTGATTATTTAAGAATATAACATATTTATAGGACTGAACCAAAATATTTACATACATAAAATTAAATTATAATAAATTATTAAGAATGAACATGTGAATACAATGGATCCACAAGTATCCTCAAAAATGAAGTCCATTAAAATACACATTCTTAATAAATATTTTATAATTAATTATGTATCTATAAACACTTTCAATTATCTCTATGATAAACATCACCAAGTAATAAATTTATCAACAATGATTCATCAAACTAAAAACATCACCACTAATAGCACTAATGCATTAAAAAAATAAAAAAAATAAAAAAAAAATTACAACTCCAAGACTAAAACATCACATCATTCATGACGGGACCCACTGCCACCTAATTAGTGGGAGCACTAATTAGTGCTCCCAAGCATTTTTCTAAATTTATATATTTTGTATCACCTATTGCGTAAGATTGTCAGTTGTGAATTAATGTGGTCCTAGCTAGGGGCTAGATCTATGTAATGTGCTTTTAGAATTTTGTAGGACCCCTTAAATTTGGAAATTTTGGATTATACTCTTCTCAGACGCCAGCACCATAATTTGCTATCGTAATTGCTATCAGAGTGGGTTGGATTGAAAGCATCTCTTTTTGTTTTTTTACGAGCAATGGACTGAAACATCTCATTAGCCTAATCAGACCCTTTTGTTTTAACCCATGGGATGTAACGCACTTGATAAAGGTTTGAGGTTAAAATTTTAGGTTTCAAATTTGAATTTTTTTAGGTTAATCTTCTGAGTGTAGCATAGTTGGTTAGGAGATTAATTTCAAATTATTGCTACCGCAACACTTGGCGTAGGTTCAATACTCTCCCGTTGCGCGAGTCCTGAATTAAGCAAAATTTATTTTGAGAGGTCGGAACAAGTTGTCAAGTTATAGTCTCTTATTTATAACGAACAACAAGGCACCTTGGTGATCTCTACAAGGGGTGTTGCCTTAGACCTGCAGGAGAGGAAGAGAATTTTTTTGTAACAAAAAAAAAACTTTTGTTATTATTTGAGATAAATTTTTTTTTTAAATTATATTAAATTGAAGATGGAATTATATACAAAAAGTCCAATATCTTACTATTATTATAGACAGCGTAAGTAAGTTTTGAATTCAAGATCTTAAATTTTATTAAGAATATACTAATCATTTGAACAACATACATATTATAATATTAAATTCATTATTATTTGTTTTTATTATTAGTTATTTAAAATACACACATCGTGTGTACTAAAAATTAACAGTATGTTTAGCTTCAATTTTTTGAATTTAATTTTTTGTAAATTAATTTTTTTATTTTTCATATTCTTTTATTTTTAATGAATATTTTAAAATTTTAAGCAATTTTTTTTACTTTTTTAGATGTACTTTACTTGGATGTATCTAAATAGTAAAATATTTGTAAACAAATATTTTGAAAAATTAATAAATACACAAAAATATAAAAAAAATGTACTTAATTTTTATATTTTTGGTATTTAGTAAAAAAAAATTAAAGATTTTTTTCATAAATATATATTTTTTAAGTGTATTTATGTTAGGTTTATCTAAAAATTAAAAAAAAAATTCTTAAAATATTAAAAAAAATCAATAAAAATAAAATAAAATTTTCTGAAAATTAAATTCTGAAAACTATTTTTCTATATAGCATTAGTACAACAACATCACGTGAGTATGAACGCCTAGACTGTGGCTAGATTTGGCATTTGTCTTTTTACTAATTTTTTGCATTCTACTTTTTTAGAATAAAGTTGTTTCTAAGAATGTTAGAAAAAATATATATATAATATAATATAATAAAAATAGAAATTAAAAAAAATCGAAGAGAAATGTGAATTTTTTTAACAATTGTCAAGCAAAGATGAAACTTGTTTAAAAAGTTTTTTTTTTTCTTTCATAATTGTCATCTAAAAAAGTAATAGCTAAATAGTCTAACTTTCTATAACTTAGGTCGCGTTTGAAAACAAATTATTCTAGTAATTTTTTGATTTTTTACAAAATAATGTACAGAAAAGTAGAGAGAATAATGTAACAACTTATGGTAACGTTATAACTAAAATATATAATTGACAAACGAGACATTAAATAGTTAAAAAATTGTTAAAAATGATATAACCATATAGCGACTATTTAAAGGGAGATTTGTAAAGAGAAAATAAAATTAAATAAAATATTGAAAAAAAAGTCACTTATTTTTTCTTTTGTTTTTTTTTCTCCACAATTTTCTTCTCCGATCCAAAGGCAATACTAATCTTACCCAATTGAAGGAGAACCTTAGTAAACAATTGAATAATTAGGGTGCATTTAGGATGTGTGTTAATTTTTTGACTTTTTGGCTATTTTAGTTTAGGGCTAAAAAAGTCTCGTTTAAGATAAATTTTTTGACTTTTTTGACTTTTGTGAGAGAAAAAATAAAATAATTATGGTTTGGATGTGATATTTTGTCTTATTGGACTAAAAAAAATTTTTTTTTTTTTTGACTAAAATAGTCAAAAAATCAAGAAGCTTGGCATGTTAAACGAAGGCTTAATGGGTTAAGTTTCTCAAGTTCAAGGGGCATGTCAACTTACCATGGATCATTTTTCAATAATTTAAATCGTTCATTTTGTAAAGTCCTTCATACTAATATTCATAATAAAAATTAAGTTTTTTTTTTTGGGTAGGTAATAAAAAAATTAGGTTTATTTGGTAATCGTAACCTTTTATATTTTATAGCATTTGTATCCGAAAAAAATAAAAATATATATTTTTAAAAATAGACCATCTAATTTTTTGGAGATAAATACAATAAAATAAAAAGTTGTGATTATTATAATGGCTTAGGGACATCAAAACAGGACATGTAATATGCCTCTTAAATCCCACAAGTTCTCTCAAATTTGAACTTCAGAGAATGCCAACCCCTTAGGCCGTTTGGCAAACTTGACTTTTAAGTTAAATCAAAAAAATCAAACATCTTACTAATTCATGATTTTCAATAAAATTATAAAATAAAAAATAAAATCTCAAATCTAGTCATGTTTGGTTGGTTTTCAGAAAAAAAAAATTCAGAATTTTTTTTTAAAAAATGATAATTAATTTGGTAAAGAAATAAAAAAAAATAAAAAAAAAATACTTATCATTTTTACATAACTTTATTTTTTCAAAGGCCAAAAAAAATTTTGTAAAAATTTAAAAATATTATTTTGATATTTATTTTTATCAAATTAATTTTTATTTTTTTAAAAAAAAATTAAAATATTTTTCTCAAAATCAAACCAAATAAGGCTATCTCATAAAAAATATAAAACGTCAAAAATTACAAGAAAGTCAATTCATAGATTAGGCTTTTTTAAAACACTAACTAATGAGTTGATACATTGCGTTAGTTAGGCGCAGGATGATGTGAATTGGGACTCTACACTGAACCGATTGATCCATTAATTAGCCTCCGTTTGGGGGAGTAAGTTGGCTTTTTGATTTTTTGATTTTTTTGATTATTTTAACTTGAGCTAAAAAGTTTGGTTTGGGAAGAACTTTTTGACTTTTTGACTTTTTTTGTAAAAGAAAAGTGTAATGATTATGGGTTGGATGTGATGTTTTATATTTTAAAATATAATCTTTTTTAATATTGAATACCAATAAATTTTAAAATATAATTTTGTAAATTATTTAATTTTTTTTATATAAATTTTAAAATCCTATTAAAATTATACAAAAAGGTAGTCATTTATATGTTTGGGTTTAATTTTTTAGGGATAAAAATTGGTTTCTCTAAATGTAAAATTACATATTTGACCAATTCACATTATAAAGAATTTGGATTTTCCCTCCTAGAACAAATCTCACATTACTAACAAAAATGTAACACTCCAATAACGTAACACTCTAACGTAACCCTCCAATATAACATATTAAAAAACTTTATTTCCAAACGTAACAACGCAACACTTCAAAAAACTCATTACTATACTTTTTTCAAACGTAATACTCCAATGTAACGCACAAAAAAAAAACTCATTTGTATATTTTTCCCCGAACATAACACTCCAATCAATGTAATCCCAAACGTAACACATCAATATAACACACAAAAATACTAAAAAAAAATTTAATGTAATTTTTCCAAATGTAACACTTAGAATTTGAAATTATACATTTGCTCAAAACTTACTAAGGAATTTTTGTACTCTTTTTGAAATGATTTAAAGAATTCCATATCCTTTTGGAATGGTTTGAAGAATTTCATATCCTTTTTTGAAATATTATATTAGAGTGTTACGTTTGAGAAAAGTACAACAATGAGTTTTTTTTTTTTTTCATTACATTGGAGTATTATATTAAGAATTTTTTGAAATGTTATATTCGAGTGTTATATTTGGAAAAAGTACACAATTTTTTTTTTTTTTAAGTATTACATTGTAGTTTACGTTTGAGTGCTATGTTGGAGTGTTAAGGTTTGAAATTATATTTCTGCCCAAAGTTTACTAAGGAATTTTTGTACTCCTTTTGAAATGTTTGAAAATTTTCGCATTCTTTTGGAATGTTTAAGGAATCTCATGTTTCAAGTCATTTTTGTATTTCTTTTAAAATATTTTCTAAATAAAAAAGATTCCAATATAAAAATTTATCACAAATTTGATTATCATAGATTGTGTACATGACCTTTCTAGCACAAAAGAAGAAAAAGAAAAGGAAACATAATAGAAATAAAGGTATAACCGTAAATCTAATTTTTAAATAATATATTAAATCTACCTTCCAAAATAAATAGGACTAATTGATTTATAAAAAAATCTTTGGGACTAAATGGATCATCATTTCTCAAAATGGGATTTATAAGTAATTTTTTCTTATTTTAAATATATATATATATATATATATATATATACTCTTTTTATATATATATATATATATACACACACACACATTAGAAGTGGGCCCAAATGCAATGCGTTTGTTGTTTTAGATCTAAATTTTTGGACAACTCAAAGAATGAGAACTGAGGCCTCGTTTGAAAATAGGTTTTTTTAAGTAATTTTTTAATTTTTTGATTAAAATGTGATGTAAAAAAAATTAGTATATTTGGAATGATTTTTTGACTTTTTACGAAATGATATGCAAAAAGTAGAGAGAAAATGGAATCTTTGACTT